TATTTATACTATATCATAATCTTGCTGCTTACAACTAAAAAGGCAAACATATTAGTTTTTTTGCGACTATGATCTCGATTTGAAAGGTGGACAGAATACCTACCCGTTCAAGCGTCTTCTTCAACTGCTGCATTTCACTTTTCTGTTGCTTCAACTCCACCTCCAAATCGGCCTTCTCCTTCTCGCATTCCGTGTTTGATTTTGTCAGGGTGGAGACCTTTTCCATTGCATTCTCTTTATTGCCTGAAACGGAGTGAAGGGAAATGTTTCGATAATTGATCACTGAAATGGACTCCTGCCAAATCATCTAGTGTGTGCCAAACCGGAAACAGTTCAAGTGAGCGCAAGTTTTGTGGGTCAATTTCCCGGTATTAGCATGCAATACACGGAAAACTATTTTTATAACGACTGTTCAAGAGTTTACGTGGGTTCTCAAGACAGCCAGTCAGAAAAGGACCTACGGAAAATCAGTCATACTCCCATGATTTGTAAATGCTGCCCTATGGGACAAAGGTTTGGATCGCAAACAGCTCTTCACCCGAATGCGTCGTATGAATTAAATATCATTTAAACCTGTGTGTAAAATCGGATTTTGTCTTTTATCCTCCATCCGTTACCTTCTTGTGCCACTGGGGAAACCGAAACTCACTCTCTCAGAACGAGAAGATACGATCACTAGAACAAGAAATCTATCGGTCTGACATTGTGAATTCTCACTCGAACCCATTACCGGAGACAATCGCAGTATTTTTACTTCGCAATGGTCACAAGAGCACATCTGTACTAAAATTAAAACTCTGTGATCACAGCTGGGGTTCGTAATTGATGCGGCCATTGCTCGGCATTCCCAAACAGAATTGTTAGTTGGGTTCGGACGAGAAGCCGAAAGGACAGGCCAATTAACTTCTCGTTCCAGTGATTGCATACTCGCCTTGTAAGCTGCTACCTAGAACTAGAATATTCGCTTTTTTCAGGAAATGAAAATCTTTTTCCGCCTCCGCGTTTGAGGCCGAAGAAGGCAACGTCTTGAAAACAGTAAGTCTAATAAGATCCAATGATTTATCTTATAATCACGTGATCTAGAACGGTAGCTTACGTAGCATCGTGGTTCTGTCCCATCCAAATATGATCTATTTTATTTTGTTGATATTTGCTTATTCAAATGCATGTAATAGGAAAATGCGATAATCCTTATGCCTATCTCATTGAAAAGTTCATCTTCCATTCGCTGAGGGCGTTCGAAACACACTAGCCTGACGGTCCAAGCGGACAAAATTTTTAGTAAAAGTGAATGGGCGCTAACCGAGTGCGCTGGAGGCGTCCCGTTGTGCCTTGAAGCTGACTCTCAAAACCTACAAAGACGGGAAATCTGTAGCGACTGTTTCTGACTTATTAGCAGCCATCAGTCAGCCACATCCAACCACTGACAGAAAGCCAATGTCTTAGCCATTGGTCCGTTTCCTGTCAGTTACAATCACCGATCCGTTACGAACCAGACTTTCTTTCTCCATCTTGAGCCCCGCCAGCAGCCGCAAAGCGGCAAAAACAAGGGAGACAAGAATAACGTTTTTGGCTTACTAGTCATCATCAGCCAGCCATACACAATCTCAGTTGTTGCATCACTTGAGACTCGGACAAACGACCTGTTGGTTAGAAGTCTAATGCTAACCATTAAGTCGGAAGCTCGTTGTCTTGTCAGTCTCGATCGGAAATACTAGTAATGTTGGTGGATGGGCACTCGCCGATCGGTTACGGGCCTCACTCTTCGTCGTTGGGATTCTAAAAGCCCAATACTTTTGCAAGAACGGTTAGCGAACGTGCATCGGTCCACACGTAGCACTCGTGAGTTAACAAGAGTACCACCCAAAGGACTGTGTTGTTTGCTTATCCACATAATTTCTTTGATATAATGGCGTCTCTGCTGTAGAGTTGGAGAGACCCTACGTAGACAGATCTGGCGGACGTTTTTAACCAATGAGCGTGCGGCAAGAGCGTCCAATATATTGGCGGACGTTTTAATGTCTTTATTTGTCAGGAAGATGTCCCCAAAACTGGTAGAGAACACATTCAAGGGTTTTTTAAGTTAGTTCATACGTAAATAGAATGTGTGCGCGGCGCTTCGCGCCGCGGACTAAACTAAACTAACTCCAGGACAGTAAGTTGGACCATAGGTAATTTGAAGTAGACGACCTCCTAACCACCATTTCCTTCATCTAAAAATTGAAAAAACAATTTAAAATAATATAATAATGAATAAAGTGCGTAAAAACGTTAGAAACACCTGCTAGTCTGTTGGTCGGTCTTCCTGCATTTTTATTGGCTGCACATTCATCCGCTCAATGTTTCAAATACTCACTCACATAGAGTTGCCCGCCAACGCCCCCTACGGACAGTTTCTTAGTCAACAACAGCAAATGAATGTTATTAGTATTATCTACCTTACGAAAATGTGTACGCGATATGTATATATATAATTATGGTAAGTAGCAGAACAGAGACTTACATTGCAAAGTAAGTAACTGCTGTAGGAGATCCTTCTGGACATTGTCTTGTTCACTTATTTGGTTGTGCAATTGGCGATTCTGAGTCTCCAATTCCGATCGTTGAAGGTCGCCTGCACTCAGCTCTGCCTGCAGCTTCTGTATCCGATCGTGCATTTGCTGTAGCTGGTTTTTGCATTCGAACAGGCTGTTCTGTATGTTCTCGTTTCTCTCCTAAAATAAATAAATGGAACTCAGTTGGAGGGGGGCACATAAGTGCCTTCAGCCTAACTATACATGAAGAATATGGGCTACAGTTAGAACAGGAGCACTGCAATAGCAATTTTCCATCGTCCAGGTATACTTTGCCCCTCAGTTCAAGGGCATCTGGGGTTTAAACCTTGTTGTCATATGAAAATTGCCAGAAAAGGAGGCAAAAGAGACTGGAATTGCCATTTCGCGCTCATTAGCTGTCGTCAGCCAGCCATACTCCACCACAGGCAATGTTCACATGGCTTTCCATGAATCGAAAAAGAAGTCATTGGGATAAGATATAGTCGTAAACATAAATTGTAAAGTTTGTTTCATGCGCCCCGCAGGTACGTATGGGGACACATACGCACATGCACCGTGTGCAACTTAAAGTTATCACTGACCAGCAACGCGGTGACTCCCGCGGGATTATAATGAAAGTAGACTTATGGAGAATCTACCCACGTCTATC